GATCAGTGTAGGCTGCTTCAACAGTCTGCTCCAAAAAGTGAATTTGACTCCAGCTTCCCTACCCAATATGGAGATAGGCATCATAGCAATGTTAGTCCAACATATCGAGAAGGCGCTAGATTGAGGGTGGCTGTTGAAAAAGAGCATTTCAGCCATTATTCGTCCATACAAAATTGTGAGGTTTATCTACAGCAGTGGTTCTCAACCAGTGGGTCCCCAGATGTTTTGGCCTTCAGCTTCCAGAAATCCTAACAGCTGGTAAACTGGCTTGGATTTCTGGGAGTTGTATGCCAAAACGCCTGGGGACCTACAGGTTGAGAATCACTGATCTACAGCTTGGAGAAAGTTACTCATTTTTTGAGTATAACTCACTAAATTTCCCTGTCCATGGTCATCGAGGACCATGCTGATTGGGGAGACTCTGTGAGTTGGTCTAAGAAGTGATCCTACCATATTGTTGTATAGACTATTTGATAGGGATGGGCTAGATATGACCCAGAGTCTTGTAGTTTTCTTCAATAGCTTTTAAATCCAGGAGCAACCCCAGAAAAGAGGTAACTAACCTTCCTGTTCTGTGTTGATAAAAGTCACATTTCTTTTCAATCTTTTTTCTTGCCCACTTGGTGAAAAGAAGAAAATTCCAGAAATAGACTTGATGCAGATTTAAAAGCACAGTGTAATGCTCTGTGCTTTTACATCTTGATATCATCTCCTTTTTTCAATGCCAATGTGGTGGTGTGGTTTAGCATTGGACTATGTGGACACTGCAGAACTACAGCTCAATGTAGTTTGGCACCACTCTAACCGCCATGGCTCAGTTTTCTAGATTCCAGAGAATTATAGTTTCACAAGGTCTTCTCTGCCAGAGTCCTGGTGCCTCACCAAACTGTAACTCCTAAGATTCCATGATAGTCAAAGTGGTATCAGACTGCATGAACTCGGGATGTCCAGGGTTCAAATACCCATCTAGCCAAGAAAACCCATTGGGTGACTTTCTCAAACTTGGAGGGAGACAAAGACAAAAACCTCTCTGAAGAAATCTTGCCAAGAAACCCTATGATAGGTGCACCTTAGAGTTGGAATTACTCTAAAGTAACTTGAAGGCACACACAGTAAGAATAACTGCTTCTTCCTCTGAACATGAGGCAGGGCATTGTGGGCAAGCACAGTCGCACAAGGTGGGGGATTCTTTTAGATAGTGCCATTTTGCCAGGTTGTCTTTTGATCTGCCCACTCCACTTCTGAGCCTGTTCAGGAACTTCCAAGTTGCCCATTCTTGGTTTACCCCTGAAGTAAGACCCTTGTGGTGGTGGTGGTGGGGGGGCATCCAATTGGGATTGCCTGGTTTAGTTGCCAAGAGGGATACTCTTGCTGTTCCTGGGGGAACATTAAGAGGAGTGGTGGTTCTCATGGAACTTTTCCTTGATTTGAGCCTACTGGGCGGAAGATGATATCCATACAGTGGGTGACTTTCACAGTGTTCAACTTTATTTCTCTCACAGCAGAATTGGGGGCGGGGCAATGCCAGCTAGCTTATAGAGTCTATCAACAGGTGTAGGTTTGAGACATCCTGTGATTATTCTGCATGTTTCGTTCAATGCTATATTCACCTACTTCATGTGAACAGACTTATGCTAAACAGGACAGGCATATTCAGTTGAGTAAGACAAGACCATGGCTGATGTTGTTATTCATTTTGGGCCTGCACCCCATGTACTGCCAGAAAGTTTCCGCAAGATGTTATTGCGTGCAGCTACTTTGTGCTTGGTTTTCATGCAGTGTTTCCTAAATGTTAGTGTTTGATCTAAGGTGACACCCGGATATTTAGGATGGGAATAGTGTTTGCCTAGTTAGTGATATGCCTGGATAGTGACCCTCTTGTCAACGGTGGATATGCAAACGTAACACCAGACCAGATAGCATACCAGCTAATTCAGAATGGGCAAACCAACTGCAGCGGAGTAAAAGTGAAAATTAGCAGGGCACCAGAACTTGAAACTCATCAGTTGTCATCTCCCCTAAACCTGAAACAACCGAGAGAAGCTACTAAGCAATGTAAAACTGGTAAAACACCTGGCGTAGACGACTTAATGATGGAGCACATCAAACACCTGGGCCCCCAAAGCCAAAAACTGTTTTTTGAAATTTTACAATCAATGCTTGGCACACAACCAGATTCCCAGACTATGGAGGAAAACAAAGATCATTGCCATTTTAAAACCTAGTAAAGATGCTTCCAATGCCAGGAACTACCAACCAATCTCTCATATGTCATCTATATAAAGTATATGAGAGGATGCTCATATATAACATATAACAAGTTAGACAAAAATCTTTTTGAGATCTTTGTTTAACTTGTTGAGGTGGGGGAAATCGATTAGTACCTGTTATTGAACTCCAGCTTATTGCACAACCGACTAACACTACCCAAGAACATCCATTAAACTATATTGCTGAAATGTCAAGTCACTGCCTTTATCCACATTCCCTTGCCAGCAAGTATTTATTTATTGTTTCTTCCCCTTCTGGTGTTGTAATATTAAGAATTGGCTCTTACAATAGAATTTCATTACAGATCATCTTATGTTTGCGTTCCCACACATACACATACCACCTACAACTGTCCTGCAACAGAAAACAGGGGAGGGAACGGAGTATGCCGTACGTGAGTGGCTGGCCATCCTTGTCCACATTCCTGGGTCGCCAGCAAACAGTTGAAACCTGGTGTCTGGATTCCTTCTTCCCCTCTCTTTCATGCCAGCCTGTTACATAACAAGCAGTTGATCTCTCCAGTAATTCAGTGACTTCATTGTATTCCTCCCCAAAAGTTGCATTTCCCCTGCTTGCTAAGGGGCTCAGGGAGTTTGAAAACTATGGACCTTTGTTTATGTGCCAACACATCCTTTCCCTAGCATTCCTTCAACTGGAAACTAGAGACACCAACAGACTGGATGTGTTTTTAGCTTCCAAGAATGTAATCGTTCAGCTTGAGTGAAATGTTAATCCTGTCTATTCCTCCATGGCCACAGAAGGGAGTTGGTTTCTTTTTGAGATCTTTGTCTAATTTGTTGAGGTGGGGGAAAGTGACGATCACAAGTGGAAAATAGGTGGTTTATGCATTGGTTAGAAGCATCCTCGTTTTGCTAATCAGAAGCCTTTTAGCCACTTGATGCAGCTGTTGGAGCTGAACAGATGGCATATGTACCACTATATCTGAATTAGGCCTCAAATACTGTGATTCTGAGACACACTTGCTGCATTGTGACAAAGGGGTCTGCAGCCCCCACTCCATGTTTATGATGAGGCTGCTCCACAAGAGAAGAATACACACATAGTTGTAAAATATGATTCCTCCAACAGAAAGAGTGGCTTCAAATTAATCATTGCAAAACTCTGTGCTTGTTGGGCCGATGTGCTACTTAGTGACTGAAGATGGCACTGCAAACTTCAAACATATGGACATGGTGTTGTGTTTGACCCAAATACCCCCATAAGCACATCCTCTTCAATGCCCTTCAGGTTTCCAGGGTGTCATGATATTGGAGCTATTGTCTAATACAGTGGTTTCCAACATTTTTTTGACCAGGAACCACTCTCCAACATTGGTACCAAAAGGGTTACAAATCAGTTTTTAGTCAACTTTAGATTTGGATTGGTTATTTGGGGTGCTGATTCAGAAAATTAAATTGGATAGACCTCATCAACTCTAGTTTCTGATACAGAACATATGTCATCCAGTATCACCATCTGCTCGCCCACAAAAAACCATATTTAATAATCTAGAGCTGATGTGGTCTATCCAATGCAATTTTCTGAATCGACATCTCAAGTAACCCCAGGAACAGGCCTAAAAATGAAGGCACCAAGGCACCCCCACTTCCAGGCACCACATGGAATGCCTCCACTTAGGGAGAAGCAGCAGTCGGGGCTTGTTTTCATGCCTTTCGTGGCCTCTCCTTTCCCAACATCTCCATTGCCTTGGCACCATAAGAGGGTTTCGCAAGACTAGTCACTCTCGTTGCAACAGTGTAGTAACAGTGAGGCCGCAGACCATAATTTAGTTCTTGCGGACCACTGGTGGTCCATGGACCACAGGTTGGAAACCACAGGTCTAATAGAAAGATTAAGTAATAAAAGTGCATTCCCTTTAGTTCTTACAATTGAGTCGTGCTTTAATTGATGAAGGGTTAAGTTGCTATCATTATAATTGGCAATCAACAAACTTTACTGCCTGTGTGGCCATAGAGTAGAGTAGCTTTCCAAACATTTCATGTTGGTGAGACATACCCTTTTAGTCATGCATCGTTTTGCGACACAGTTATTCAGTTTTACTAGGAAATCAGAGGTTAAAGCAACCCCTTATAAGAGATGTGGACTCATACAAGAATTATAATAATGTATGGGGACACAACATATATCATGAAACCGTTTCATGTATATATATTTAAATATATGATTTATTGCCTATTTCTCATAGAGGTCTCTCCTTACGTTTACACTTACTTGTTTCAGTCGGCACATGGTTTAGAAAGCTCTTCCACAGAGTTAAATTTCTGCTGGTTTGAAAAAGTGTACTAGGTCCAAAATTATTGTGCATAGCTAGGATGGACTTCCTAATTCTATAAAAGTTACAAAACTATTGTTTTACCTATGTCCCATTAATTCAGTAGGTCTAGTTTAGTTGGACCTTAGAAATTGCATTAAAATTTGAATCTTTTATCAAGCTGCCTAGTCACTACATGTTTTGTGGGCAAGATCAGAAGTCCATGTCTTCTGAGCATGGGTTGCAAAATATGTTTGCCTTGAGGCTTTGGCTAGCCATTGCGGGTCAGTAGTACTGTAAAGAGATACAACAATGATGTGATTCTGTGGCCCAGGCTGGATGTGCATTATGTGAACAAGCCTCGGGCATGAATAGAAAATATTGAAAGTATTTGTTCAAATCAACCACTGTTTGGCATCATATTGAAACCAGAACAATTTGTGCTTGGTTTAAACAGGGATTTATTAAAGCAAGTCAAGAGTCATGGGCTGATCTTAAGACTAACCTCATCTGTCAGCTTTTTCAACTAGTAAAGGGAGTCAAAGATTCCCATCATCCTTTCGAGTTGAGTAGGTGTGCAAGATGCTCTAACTATTCATTTTCAGCACTTACAGGCACGGATTATTAAAGTCCTGTGTGAGTATTACAAATAAAAGGTGCTATAAACAAAGCCTTCCTCATGGATGCTCACCATGAGTAGGTATGGGCAAACCCAGGCCTTGGGGCTGGATGCGGCCCCTTGGGCTCTTTTCTTAGAGCGTCTTCTCTCATCATCCTATCCTTCCTTCCTTGTCTCTTTCCTTCCTCCCCCCCTCGCTCCCTTCCCTCCTTCTTTCCCTTCCCTTCCCTTCCACCCTTTCATCCTTCCTTCCCTTTTTCCTCCCWCCTTCTGTCTCGACCTCTTTCTCCTTCATTCCTTCCCTTTTGTCTTTCCTTCCTTCTCTCTTTCCTCCCTCCCTCCATTCCCTTCCTCCATTCCCTTCCACCCTTCCTTCCATCTTTTTTTTCCTCCCTCCCTCCCTTCTCTTTTTCCTTCCTCCTTTCCTCCTGGGGGATGTTTAGCTGGGWGAAAGAGAAGGTTGAGAGGAAACATGAGAACCATGTTTCAAAATTTAGAAGGGTGTTCCATTCAGGAGAGGGGGGAMTGACTTTCTGCTGCTCTTGAGACCAGGGCACAAGGAAACAATGGTTTCTGGCATTCGCCTGAAAAGATTAGGAAGAACTTCATAGAAAATAGCATAGGCTGGCTCGGAGTGTGGTGGAGTCTCCTTCTCTGGAGGCTTTCCCATAGAGACTGTCGATTGGGAGTGCTTTGATTGTGCCTCCCTGCATGGCAGGGGGTTGGACTGGATGGCCCTTGGAGTTCTCTTCCAACTCTAGGATTCTATATCAAGAGTAGGCAATATGAGGTCTAATGGAAACACTTTTTCTCTCCCGTCCACCATTTCATCCTGACCAAGGCCTTCACTTTCTGCCTCCAAAAGAGAAAAGGAAGGGGAKGAAAGGGCAGGGAGGGGACTTGGGGACAMCCCCCCCCCCCGGCCCGCTCACACACACCCCCCTCAGGCAACCATGCAACCCCCAAGTTAGAAAGGTTTGCCATGCCTGGGTTATAGTGACACCAGATCAGTGACATTGAAGTAGTATAAAAACAAATCTAACTTTATGCACTGTAAGTACCTGACTATCATTTTGATGTTGTTTTAGGGTACAGTCTGACACATAATATAAGTTTTATTAATGGTAAATGATACAACAGATGGTACATTGAAGAGATGCCTCCCAGCCCTTATCACTGATGGGGTTTATCATCCCCTCACAGCCAGCTTTTCAAACAAAGTATAGACTCACTGGACATATGGAAAGCCTTGGTTGAAGTTCACCCAATTCAGGGGAGACTCGCAGATGATAGACTCACATGGGTTGTACAATGCATTATATGATGAAGAAGAAAATATAGAATAGGATTCAGCACCTTGAATAACTCTTCTGAAGTTAAATTCACACCCTACCAACATGGGAGCCACCTTTATTCCATACTATACACAATTCAAATTTTGGAGTGCACCTGATGAAGGAAACGGTTCCGGCCCAGCTTATCTGTCTGAACGTATCTCCTCCTATGAACCATCTCTGAGATTAAGATCACCTGGAGAGGTCCTGCTCTCGGTCCCGCCTCCTTCGCAGGTGCATCTGGTGGGGATGAGAGGCAGGGCCTTCTCTGTGGTGACCCCTATGGAACTCCCTCCCCAGTGATATTAAAACAGCCCCCTCCCTCCTGGCCTTCAGAACGAAAGTGAAAACCTGGCTCTGGGATCATGCCTTTGGAGATTAACTACAGTTAAATAATAGCTACAGAATCATGTGCATTTACTTTTGGAATGGCCCCAGATTAAGATTGTGGATGGCATGATTTTTAATAGTGATTGTAATGTTTTATATGCTTTTAATCTGCATTTAATTTTAATTCTTTAACTTAATGTATTTTAACTGTTTGTTGTTCAAAGGCATTGAATAGTCGCCATATGTAGAGCCACTTTGAGTCCCCTTTGGGGTAGAGAAAGGCGGGATACAAATAGAGTAAATAATAATAATAATAATAATAATAATAATAATAATAATAATAATTGCATAAGGATTTTGCTCAGATTAATGTATATTGTTTTGATGTGTCCATTGGCTCTGCTGTAAGACTAACAGCTCCATGGTTTTGTTTGTTTTCTAACTAGAAGATCAAGAAACTGTGAAATCATGGCTGAAAAACCCAAGTTGTATTATTTTGATGGAAGAGGCAAGATGGAGCCCATACGATGGCTGTTAGCAGCTGCTGGTGTGGAGGTTTGTATCCCCCAATTAGCTCACATGAAAAATTGTGTTTTCCTTAGACATTCATTGCTCCATTCAAAAGACATAAGCAGAAGAAACATCAGTGTACTACAGCTTGAGGATATCCTTGTTTCATACCAATTGAAAATGTGTCCTTAGATGTTATTGTCCTGGTCTTTACAACACCATGATAGATAAGTGGTAGGGTCCATGGAGAGCACATAAAATGTTTGTTGCAGCAAAGAGACTATAGGCCACAAGTTGACTTTGTAAATTTCCTCCTCTCATTTAGTTTCTTACTTACTTAGGTGATGCCTCATTGTCCAAGTATGATGATCCTCCAAGTGTAGTGTCTTGGCAGTGGATACATAGGTGACTGTAGAGCCCTATTCTTGATCCACATGTTCTTTTGCAGTGAGAACATCAGTTTCCAGGTGGAAGGTGGTCCTGGTCAGGGTTGGCTTGATGCACCTTCCTCTTGACACGTTTCTCCCTTTCACCCTCCATTCATGCCTCTTCGAATTCTGCAGCACTGCTGGTCACAGTTGATCTCCAGTTAGAGCTCTCTGTTGGAGGTTGTAAATGTAAATAAACAGAAACTTTACCACAGTTTCTGAACCAAAATATAATGTTTCACTCAGATTTGTGTAACAAGTAACAGTTCTTACAGAGGACAGAGGGAATAAACAGTCCTTTTAAACAGTCTTTAAAATACACTTCATGCCTTAGAAATGATCAGGCTTCAGAGAGCTGACAGCCATTTCCTTTTTGGCTGTTTGCAGTCAGTGCTCTCTTCACTCTCCGAGGTGAAAGTGGCAGTTAAAAACCATTTGTCTCAGCAGCAAGCCAGAGATAGTAGTCAATCAGAATTCTGGCTCCTGTCATGCTCAGCCAATCAGCTGCCGACACATGTCTTTCCAGTCAACCCATTACATCATGGTGCCCCACACTCTCAAGGGTCAGGACTTCCCAGTTCTTTGTGTATTTTTGTAGCCTAACAAGAACACCAGTATTTTATTTTCCACCCTCTTCCACAACACCATATTCTCAAGTTGTTGTATCTAAAGCATTTCCATTTATTAACACCACTGCACCTTGAATCTATTCAAATGTTTGAATCTCTTATGACTGCTTATACTCTGAGCCACATATTCAGTATTCATAAGAGATTCAAATGTTTGAATCTCTTATGACTGCTTATACTCTGAGCCACATATTCAGTATTGATGGGCCAGCCTGAATTCTTCTATGGTATATTCAAAAGTACAGACTCAAAATACTAAGATACATGGGCTTCCCCCTAAAACAGAATGAGAAGAGCTTTGAGCATTGTGTTGAGAGTTTATGCACAAAAACAGTCAGGAGGAGATTCTATATGTTGTCTTTTTAAAATACTTTTTGTTTTTAATGCAATCTGCTTTGAGGACCATCTTGGGCCAGGACAGCAGACTACAAGTAAGTGGCACCTGTTAAAGATGATCATTAGCTTTAAAAATATTTTTTCTACCAATATCAAGTCACTCTATATAACTTTCAGTCTAAAAACGGTGTCTAAAAATGTTTAGTTAATAGGGAGGACAGAATCTCAAGGCACTCGGATGAGTGTACTTTTGGTTTGTGCTTTCCCCTCACTGCCTTCTTCTTTGTGCAGTTGGTATGTATGAATCAGTGAAAAACTCACTTGATACCAAAGCAGGGTATAATAGGGAATAAACTCTCATCGGAAGTGAAGAAAGCAGCCAATCTTGCATTTCACAAGCTTTGGAAATCTGACTCGATCCTGGGAACGTACAGACCTTGATAAGAAAGAGTTTGGTTACGTTTTGAAATACTCGTGGTTTGCATGTGGCTTTTGTAGGCAGGAAGAAGGAGTGCTTGTCCTTGGATTGTACTAAATGGTGATGTGATTTTCAGAACTCTGCAACAATCCCTTCTCAATGTTTCTATCTTGTAGTTTGAAGAGGAATATTTGGAGACAAGAGAGCAATATGAGAAGCTGCTTCAAGGTAAGCTTGTGATTAAGTGCGAAACATTTGGCCAGAAAAATCAAGAAGAAAGACAGAGGCAAAGTGGAGGCAGGACTTCTGAAAAGAGAAAAGAGGCCTTGTATTTCAAGAAGGGGTTCTTCTCCTGATTCCTTCGTAACAGCAACGATTTGGATATGAAGTTGCCTTCTCATGAATGGGCAAGTGTTATAAGTCTATCGGAAGCACATAGCCAACAGTATGACCCCACATGCTGTTTCAAAGACTCAACACTTTTTGATGGCATGGCGTGATAGTGGAAGAGATCAATCAATCCTTCACTTCCTTCCTTCTCTTATCAAGGGTATGAGGAAGGAAAGCATTTCCTTGACGCTCCTTAATCTGATCCTGTTGCTATCAGTGCTTTGAAGCTTCTTGGTAGTCTGATTCTCTGAAGCCATGCATGATATAGTGTATATCAGTGTTTCTCAACCTTCGTAATGCCGCAACCCCTTAATACAGTTCCTCATGTTGTGGTGACCCCCAACCACAACATTATTTTCGTTGCTACTTCGTAACTGTCATTTTGCTACTGTTATGAATCGTAATGTAAGTATCTGATATGAAGGATGTGTTTTCATTCACTGAACCAAATTTTACACAAATAACTAATACACCCAAATTTGAATACTGGTGGGGTTGTGGACTGATTTTGTCATTTGGGAGTTGCAGTTCCTGGGATTTATAGTTCACCTACAATCAAAGAGCATTCTGAACTCCACCAACGATGGAATTGAACCAGACTTGGCACATAGAACTCCCATGACCAATAGGAAATACTGGAAAGGTTTGGTGGGCATTGACCTTAAGTTTTGTAGCTGTAGTTCATCTACACCCAGAGAGCACTGTGGACTCAAACAATGATAGATCTGGACCAAACTTGGCACGAATACTCAGTATACCCAAATGTGAACACTGGTAGAGTTTGGGGAAAAATAGATCTTGACATTTGGGAATTTTAGTTGGTGGGATTTATAGTTCACCTAAAATGAAAGAGCACTCTGAATCTCACCAATGATAGAATTGAGCCATACTTCCCACACGTAATCTCCATGTCTTGAAGGGACTTGTTGGCACGAACCTCCCTGCCACCTTGCACACTCTCCTTCACCCGCACATGCACACCACTGCTGCCATGCGCCAAGCACACCTGCTCTCCCTTCCCTGCTTGGAGTCTCAGAAACAGCCCTCCCCTTGGCTGAGAGGCCAGCCAATCACAGTGGAGGAGGGCTTTTGGCTGGAGGAATTGCCATCTGTTTCCAAAATGGAAGAGAAGGACGTGGAGAGATCTTCAGCTTTCTCTGCCAAAGGGGCTCCTAAGACCAAGAGAAATATATGTTTTCTGATAGTTTTTGGCAGCCCCCTGAAACCCCCTTGTGACCCCCTCAGGGGTCCCGACTCTCAGGTTGAGAAACACTGATCTATATCATGATATAGTGGTTTCCAACCTGTGGGTCCCAGATATTTTGCCCTTCAACTCCCAAAAATCCTAACAGCTGGTAAACTGTCTCAGATTTCTGGGAGTTGTAAGCCAAAACACCTGGGGACCCACAGATTGAGAACCACTACATTAGAATATAGTCACCTTCATCTCTTGGAGCTGCTAGCCACAAGTGTTTGTTAAAGGAATATTATTTTACAACAGGGAATACTCTTAAAAGTCTTTTCAATAATTACATAACAACATTTTCAAACAACATCAATATGACATCCTTTCAGATATTTGAATAGGGCTGTCATGTCCCATCCTAACCTTTTCTTCTCTAAGCTAAATGGACCTAGCTCCCTAATCTGCTCCTCGTTGGGCTTGACCTGTCTCCTCATATCTGCATCTGGGTTCCTACAGTTATCCTGAGCATTGATAAAACTAATCAGATTAGCTGGGACTATATTGGGTTACAGTACCAGGGTAGATATTGCCTTTTAGACAGAAAGCATGACTTGTTCCTCTGTTTTTCTTTCCTCAAAAGATGGATCGCTGCTGTTCCAGCAAGTGCCCATGGTGGAGATTGATGGGATGAAGATGGTGCAGACTCGAGCCATTCTCAGCTACATTGCAGGGAAACACAACCTCTACGGGAAGGACCTGAAGGAGAGAGCTATGTAACAAATACATATATTTAGCTGAAGAATGTTTTGGTTTTCTAGCTCTTCTGGGATCACATGACCTAGAGTATGCTCTGCTCCATGAGCGGAAAGACATCAGGGATCTGCTTTATTTTTCTGCCCCAGAAGCTAAAATTTACTTGGGGAACCTGATGCAAAAGAAATCCACTTAGAATCCACTTCTACCTTTTTTAAATACTCCCGGCTATTTGAAGCTTTATTTATTTCATCTGTTAAATGTATAGTGAGAAGGGACACTGTCAATAAACAAGTAGAAGCAAGTAATACTTTTGAATCTGCCAGGCAATAGGGATCGACCTACTGTTTACTTTTTATTTGGAAAAGGAGCATCCCTTTGACTGACATTCAATGGGTCCCAATGTGCCATCTGTGTATATCTCAAACAGACATGTAACAAGAGTTTTGTCCACACTGTATGCTTACAGCAGTTTGATGCCTTTATAACAGCTATGTCCGAATCCTGTGCAACCCTGGGATTTGTAGTTTAGTGAGGTTCTTTGAATACTCTGCTCGCATACTCTTCAAACTACAAATGAGAACTCTTCATAACAGGGAATTCAAATGACCCAACCAAACTACAAATCCTAGGATTCCATTGGATGTAGCCATGACAATGAAAGTTGTATCAAACTGTTATCAGTGTGCAGTGGCTGTAAAAGTAATAAGCCCACAGCCTGGACAGGGCTCATAGGCATTCCCTTCTTGCCTGCAGCCAACCTCTGCTGTTTTCTATTACTCTGTCTATGTGAAGCCCATAAGGCTGTTGAACATCAGTACTTTGCAGCCTATGGAGCTGCTGCACTGGGGCTTTTTCCTGCATAGAATTGAGCTTTGCTTTCTTGGTGTAGGAAAAGTCCAGCAAGAATTAGATCTGGCTGTGCTCGGTGGTCTTCTCTTCCCAGTCCTTCTGTGGAGACACTTTGGCTCCTGCACTAAGACATTACCCACTATTTGTACAAGGAATAACTGCCACTGTGCATCTGATTCAGAAATGAAGTTGCCAGTGTGTTTGGGGAAGCTTTTTAAAAGCTGCTTTTTAATTCCACAGACTGTGGAAAATTTAGTAGGTACAGGATCCCACCCCAGTACAAGGCTGTGGTGGCCACAAGAAGCTTCTTTACTTTTGGAACCAGCATAATTTGGAAAAGGGATTTTTGAGGATTACGTCCTCCAGACTAAAATAACTTTTCTGAGCCTTGAGAATTAGAAACCTCATTCCAGTGGGTGCAGACAATTTCCAGGTTTGACAGGCTGAGCTCCGGTAGTTTAAAATAAATCAAAATAGGACCTAGAAGAGTTAGTCAGTTTAACCATATTTTTTTTCTCCACATGAAGAAATTCATTTTGAGAAATATGGGTGATTTGTGTTGATGAAAGCAGGAATCACCGGGTTGCTGTGAGTTTTCCAGGCTGTATGGCCATGTTCCAGAAGCATTCTTTCTTGATGTTTCACCCACCTCTATGGCAGGCATCCTCAGAGGTTGTGAGGTCTGTTGGAAGCTAGGCAAGTGGGGGTTATATATCTGTGGAATGTCCAAGGTGGGAGAAAGAACTCTTGTCTGCCTGAGGCAAATGTGAATGTTGCAATTAGCCACCTTGATTAGTATTGAATGGCCTTGCAGCTTCAAAGACTGGCTGCCTCCTTCTTGGGGGAATTCTTTGTTGTGAGATGATTCCCCTGTTTTTGAGTGTTGTTCTTTCCAAACATCTCACTACCCATATTTAAAACTCTGAAATCAGGACAGTAAATAAAGAACAACACTCAAAAACAGGGTAATTCCAGGCAAGAAACAATCATGACCAGCTAATCACCTCCCAACAAAGGATTCCCCCGGCACGAAGCAGCCAGGCTTTGAAGCTGCAAGACTATTTAATGCTAATCAAGGTGATCAGTTGCAATATTCACTCTTGCCTCAAACAGACAAGAGTTCTTTCTCTCACCCTGGTCATTCCACAGATATATAAACCCCACTTGGCTAGTTTCCAACAGACCTCACAATCTCTGAGGAAGACTGCCATAGATGTGGGTGAAACGTCAGAGAGAATGCTTCTGGAAAATGGTCATACAGCCCAGAAAACTCACAGCAATCCTATGGGTGATTTTATTGTATGTACTGCTCAGCTTTGGCAGCAAATGTCTCAAATCAGAGACATTAAAGATATGTGAGAGTGCAGTCTTTTATCTTAAAATCAGATAATTCGGAGATGATATTCTTGTCATGTAAACAAGGATGAAGGCATTCTGTCACTCTTGCATTCTCTTTCTGACCGTTTGCAACAAGATGGGAGAAAATTTCCAAAGAGCTGGCAATAGTCATTGCCACAGTATGTTAACCATCTCCTCTTGCAAGCTAGCGTATCATAGGAAAACAAGGATCTTTTGCTAAGGATATAAGCAGACTAAATCCAGAAATAAGGCAGGCTGATGCGTGTTTGTGTCTCTTCAGAATTGACATGTACGTGGAAGGAACAACAGACCTCATGGGGCTCATTTTGATGTTCCCATTCTTATCAACTGAAGACAAAGAGAAGCAGCTTGCCACAATCATTGAAAAAGCAACTAAAAGATATTTCCCTGTCTATGAAAAGGTATTACTCAGTAATATGTTTTGTGTACCTCACAATTATAGCAAAACATGGGGCTTCAGATAATCCTTGGATCAGAACTTCTCATGGCTTGAACCAATATAGACGATGCTTGAGGCTCATGGGAGTTACATTCCAACAATATCTGAAGGGCCATGGGTTGCCCATTATGATTAATTGACTGATTATGTATAGGCGATAAAGGAGTCATATCTTGTGCATATGTTTAAAATGTAATCATGGAAGAAGACAACTGTGTGTCTCAAAAAGTGTACCATCAGCCCTCCACATTTGTTGAAAAACCGTGAGTAAAAAATCATTTTTTAAAACCTGAGACAACACTTAGGAATCTCTGGATCCTCCAGCATGACTGTATGGCCAGCTTCCACCAGACCCTAGCATTGTACTGGACTAGAGAGTATCCTTTCTAGGTCCACCAGCAAATCTCGGTGATCACATTCTGGTGAAGTTGACCTTAGAGCTGTTCTCGAGCAGTAGTTCCCAACCTTTTTTTGACCAGGGACCGCTTTGACCAGGGACCACTCTCCAACATTACTACCAAAAGGGTTACAGATCAGTTTTTGGTCAACTTTAGATTTGGTTTGGTTATTTGGGGTGCGCTTCATAAAATTGATAGACCACATCAGCTCTAGTTTCTGATACAGAACATACGCCATCCAGTAGTCACCATCTGCTCATCAACAGAAAACCATATTTAATAATCTAGAGTTTATGTAGTCATACTAATCTTTCTTGGGTAGTCAGCCTCTCCCCTCCCGACATCCCCGTTGCCTTGGCACTATAAGAGGGTTTCACGAGACCAGTCACTCTCATTACCACGTGGTTTTGAGGCAACGGTGTAGTAATGGTGAGGCCGCAAACCATATTTTAGTTCTTGCGGACCACTATTGGTCCACAGACCACAGGTTGGGAACCACTGTTCTAGAGGATCGAGAGATTACTGGAGAGAACTAGATAATCAAACTTACAAATAATCAAATCCACAAAAGTCAAACCCACAGATATGGAGGCCTAAGACATGTTTCTCTCTAAAGCTAAGAACCATCCACCACTGACTCTTTCCCATAGCAGCCCCGTTGCTTTGCTTAATGGTAGGGCTGACTCCTGTGTACATGTGATCAGCCACTGTACTCTGCACCTCAAAACATCTTGTAGTGTCTCATAGTAGAAACAGAGCTCCCAGATTCTATAACTGGATAGAAGCAGATCTGTCACTGGGCCAGTATTGATAAAAGGAAGACTTAGTCATGGCGACATACTGGTAGTTAGTTTAATCTAAGTTTTCATCCAAGGTTTATCTGGTTTTATGTTCTGAAAGCCAACAGATTCTGGAATCTTAGTGTACAATAAAATTGAGGTGAACAATGTTGTTGGACCGCAGCTCATATTGGGCCTAGCCAAAAAAGCCAACACTTAAGGCAGTTTTCATCCAATGAGGACCACATGCTTCCCAGATCTGGTCTAGAGCCAATGCTGGGAGGCGTTTGACTTCAGTCACTTCTGGAGAACCACATGTTTCCCAGATCTGGCTTAGAGCCTGTTTCTAGTATGAAGAGGCATTCAGTCCTGAGCATGACACATGATGGAATTCCTGAATCATGTGGGAAGTAGCCTTCAGTGCCTTTTTGTTTTCCTTCTTATCAGAAGCCTCTTTCCTTCTGGCCTTTTTTGATTTAGTCATATCTCAAGACAGTTGTGCCCAGTGAGTAACTGTATGTTCCAAGTTCTGTTTGTGTTCATGCCCCCCCTGCCCCCCCCCACTCAAATTGCTTGCATTCCTTGCAGCTCTAAATCCATGCTCATGTGTTGCACAATGATCCTATGAGTCTGCCTACATTCAGAGAAATTTGGAGCCTGCTTCATATGGTCTCCTCATCTCTAACAGTCCATGTTCTTGTGTCATGACAAGACTAAGTGTTCCTATGGCTTTTTGTATATTTTTGTTCTTGAATGCTCCCAAATTTGGAGAAACAATATCTTCAAGAAGCAGCTAGAACAACAGAGACCAAGCTTAGTTGTTATGTTTCTCCTTGATGCACTAGTCTTTTATTTGTAGTCTTTTATACAATCAAGAGATTGCAAAATATCTGCTAGCTTGACATTGGCTCAGTGCTCTGAAATCCTGATAGGTATAAGTTGGGTGAAGCACCATCACTCTTTGGCTATGTGGAAGAGCCCACAGTGTCTTAGTTGTGTAATGTGAAAGGGCCCTAAGTTAGTGCTTGCTTTTTTACTCTTTTTTCTTATAAAGTGGAAATTCTACTTAAGGGCATTTTGAATTAAGAGCTGAATGAGTACAGTAGGAAGAAAATGATGCTTCTGCCTCTTCACTTTGGGCTTCTTCCATTTTAAAGGTGATCTTTGTATTGTTCCATGTGAATGTATATTTATACATTGTTATTTATAAAGTACATTTTCTTATTTAAAAAGACAGAACAAAAAATTGGGGGGGGGAGCATTTTCATGCATTTCAAATGGGAAATTTGCTTTGAGATAAGAGCATTTTGAGTTAAGACGCTCAGTCACAGAATAAATTAAAACTCTTAAGTCTGTATAGAATATTGTACTGTGCACTGATATTGGGCTATAATAGATTTACACAAACCCCAAATGAGGTTTTAGAAGAAGGGCTCAACACTGAAATCTTAGAAACCACTGTTTTTTTCTTACTCTTATTGGTATGCGACAGGTACTGAAAGATCATGGACAAGATTTCCTTGTGGGCAACCAGTTCAGCTGGGCAGACGTACACCTGATGGAAGCTATTTTGATGGTTGAAGAGAAGTCCTCCAATGTTCTGTCTGAGTTCCCTCAACTGCAGGTATTGGGATGGGAGTGAAGGGAAAATAAGTGCAATGCTACTTAACTTTCTAAAAATGTATTTTCTTTTTCTAAGGACTGTTATCTCAGCATTTCAGAGAGAAAAACTAAATAGGATTTCATGGAAACATATTCTAGAAAATTGTGCATTGTATATGGCAGTGTAGTTCCATGTCTGCCTTCTCTAAAGTAATTCCAGCTTTGTTCCATTTAAGTCTTGAGATCAATTCCAAAAACCTCCGTACCTTCAGATAAAAAGATTAGGTTTCCTCATTAAGGAAAATCCTTCTGAAACTAACAACAACAGACGTAACCTTATTTATATTAAAAAGATCACAATGAATAAACACCTGACATTGAAATGCAAAGATTAAGACCTGAGAAAAAAAAGAAGAGATGAGAAGCTGTACTTCAAGGGACAGCTCAAGCCTTGTCATTCTAGTTTAGGGAAGTATTTTCCTCCTTCTTCACAGTGTATCTACACAGTTGAGTTAATGCAGTTTGACACCACTTAAGCTGCCAAGATATGATGACTCTCAAATCTAACAAAAAGGGAATTTGAGCCATGAGAACCTATGCCATGCTTACTTATTTAGGCGATCCCTCGTTGGACGAGTAAGATGGTCTTCCTTGATGGCTATTTTTGTGGGTTTGTAGGTGGCTGTGCAGCCCTATTCTTGACCCGCATCTTCTCCCACAGTGAGGGCATTGGTTTCCAGGTGGAAGGCGGTCCTGGTCGGGGTTGGCTTGACGCGCCTTCCTCCTCGCACGTTTCTCTCTTTCACCCTCCACTCGTGCCTCCTCGAATTCTGCAGCACTGCTGGTCACAGCTGACCTCCAGCTGGAGCGCTCAAGGGCCAGGGCTTCCCAGTTCTCAGTGTCTATGCCAGAGTTTTTAAGGTTGGCTTTGAGCCCATCTTTAAATCTCTTTTCCTGTCCACCAACGTTCCGTTTTCTGTTCTTAAGTTCGGAGTAGAGCAACTGCTTTGGGAGACGGTGGTCAGGCATCCGGACAAGGCCAGCGGAGTTGATGGCAGAGGATCATCACTTCAATGCTGGTGGTCTTTGCTTCTTCCAGCACGCTGACATTTGTCCGCTTGTCTTCCCAAGAGATTTGCAGGATTTTCCGGAGGCAGCGCTGATGGAATCGTTCCAGGAGTTGCATGTGACGTCTGTAGACAGTCCACGTTTCACAGGCATAGAGCAGTATTGATAAGATTCAATAAGGCTATAAGTATGCACAACCATTGCATTCATTGCTGACAAGCTTTAAACTGTTAATTACCATACTATAAGACATATTTAACAGTGATCAAGCAACTAATATGGAGGGGGAAAGTGCAATAAACATTATATAATTGCAAAAGTATAGATTTAGGATGGGGAAAGGAACAAAGAACCTTCCAGGTATCAGTTTCAAGACATGTAAATTTCAAACTTTGAAAAGAGCTACCTATAGTAAGAACTAGGGTGGCATTCTTTCAGAGCTATGATGTGTTTCCTCTGCCTTGCGTCTTTCTAGGCTTTTAAAACAAGGATCAGTGACATTCCTACCATTAAGAAGTTCCTGGAGCCAGGCAGCCAAAGGAAACCTGTTCCTGATGACAAATACGTGGAGACTGTGAGAAGAGTCCTCCAGATGTACCACAGTGTGAAAGCAACTTAGGGGAGTTAGCCAAAGAAGTTCTGTTGAACACAATGGAATTACAGTTACTCCTGCCTAATAATGATTGCTGTGAAAGGCTCTTCCAGTAAATCCCATGCTGTTGTGTTAGATTCCAGAAATGCTACATGATGTTTCATAACTTGCGAGTGAGCTGCTAATTTAGGTTTCTGATCAAGATGCTAGTGGCAATCTGTAGCACTGTATGTACAGGCCAAATCCCTTTTGTTGTTTCAAACCAGAGTAAACTTGGAATCAGTGAGAACATTTATGTAAATCGTATTGATCAGATGGATCTGTGATTATTGGGATTAACAGCTGGGTTTTGACTAAAGAATTTACTGAACAAGCTTGAAAAAGTATCTGACTTCCAAATTTTAGCGGTAGGAACAATAATGGCACATTCACCCATTTGTACACATTTATTTTTACTACTCAAAAATAAATTTCCGACTTCGGATTCAACAGCTCCAGGATACTTTAGTCGGTAGATCTTGGGATTGTAGTTGGGTTTTTTCAAAAAAAGAATAATAGATTCTGCAAAAAGAACCAGTCTGGTCTCCTGATCTGCTTATGGATTTGGGAGATCAGGGTTGGAACCAGTTATGAGGTGCCACTGGATGATCTTGGGCAAGTCACATTTTCTCAGGCCCCTTCCACACAGCTAAATAAAATCCACATTGAACTGGATTATATGGCAGTGGACTTTGTGGATTATCTGCCTTGATATTATGGGTTATATGGCTGTATGGAAGGGCCCTTAGACTCCAAGGAAGGCATTGGGAAACTGTCTCTGAATTAATCTTGCCACAATAGATTAGCCTTAGGGTCACCATACGTCAGAAGCAACTTGAAGGCACAGAACAACAAGAAAGTAGAAATCTGCCCTTGCCTGTTTTCAAGCATTCTTTATATATACTTTATATATGAAAGCCTTTGACAATGCATACTTTATATATTCCATTGGTCAAAGCACTCTCTTTCTTCAACTGGGAGCTCAGAAAAGTTACATTTAGAACTAAAATTACCAGATCCGCCTCCAGCTGGTATGAAGAGTTCTGGAAATTTCAGTTTTAAAAAAACTTTGCTTAATCAATCACTTACTTATTATAAGGTAAACTATGAGAAGTTCAGATATTTTTTCTCTCTAACTTTGTTCTATCAATAAGTGCTTGTGCTGTAGAACTGAGTCATGAATGTGTTTGGAGTTTGTACTCTTTCACATTTTCTCTCATTTCTGCTGTTTGTAAGGTCAGATGGCAGAAAAGGTAGGAAGGCAGATAGAAGTAATGCTTACTTGCAAAATTCTCTATACCATCAAAATATGCTTAGAAGTTGAATGCTATGCTTCTGCAACATTTATATACTGGTATAGTGTAACTGTTTGCCATATTAAACTTGCACGGGATTTGTGGTATTTGATCATGTAGTTATTTCCATGTACTTGCCGTTTGGTACTTCCATAAAATGGAGAACTAATAAACTGCTGTTATTATTGCACAAAAAATGGTTCTTTGCCTTATTGTTTACAGTGAGTATTTGTTTTTTATTTCAGCAGGATCAATTTGTTTTAAGCAGCTTTCACAGCTTCATTCAAAAGAAGTCCACAAAAGCTCATACTACAAACTTCTCTTTCACAGCTAGGGCACTTCCAGACAGCACAAAAACGCAAGTTAAAGAGGTAGGACAAAAAAGCCCCAGACTCGAGAGTAGGTCCCCACACAACCTGTGGGTCCTAGGATTCCTTCCCCCACAGAAGAGACCTTCCTCACGTGTCTCTTCTGTCTCAGAATAAGATGGAGGGACATCCAGCAGAATAAAAAAAAAAGCACTCTGTTAAGTGCTGAACTGTATATGCACATGTGTGAATCTCTCTCTCTCTCTCTCTCTCTCTCTCTATATATATATATATATATATATATATATATATATATATAGAGAGAGAGAGAGAGAGAGAGAGAGAGAGCATATATATATATATATATGCTCTGTTCGTTTTGAGTGACATCATAACTCAAAATCGGCTGGCAAATTGACGCCAAATTTGGCTACAAGACACCTACTAACCCAAGGAGTGACCATTTTGTCATTTGGGAGTTGCACTTACTGGGATTTATAGTTAATCTACAATCAAAGAGCATTCTGAACTCCACCAACAATGGAATTGAACCAAACTTGGCACACAGGACTCCCATGATCAACAGAAGGGATTGGTGGGCATTGACTTTGAGTTTTGGAGTTGTAGTTCATCTACATCCAGAGAGCACTCTGGACTCAAACAATGAAGGATCTAGACCAAACTTGGCACGAATACTCCATATGCCCAAATATGAAAACAGATGGAGTTTGGGGAAAATAGAGCTTGGCATTTGGGAGTTGTAGTAATTGGTATTTATGGTTCACCTACAATCAAATCATTCCGAACCCCACCAACAATATAATTGGGCCAAACTTCCCACACACAACCCCCATGACCAACAGAAAATACTATGTTTTGGGCCATTTAAAAGCGGATATGTGCTGGTGCAGTTTCCACATGAGGGGAGGGAAGGAAAATGCATTTTTTTAATGCAGGGTCACACACGTGAATATACACAATTTTTTTGGGCAGAATCAAAATAAAAGTAGATTTTTTTATCCCATGTTTTTCTGCTGTTGCCATGAATCAGTGCACATTTAGCGCTAATATCATGGAGCCACCCTCGTTTTAACATGGGAAATCCCATGTTTTGGTACTGTGATGGGCCTTTAAATACTACGAGATACCTTCTGATCACATTTGCATGTGAAGTACATTAAAGCAGTGGTTCTCAACCGGTGGGTCCCCAGGTGTTTTGGCCTACAATTCCCAGGAATCCCAGCCAGTTTACCAGCTGTTAGGATTTCTGGAAGTTGAAGGCCAAAACTTCTGGGGAGCCACGGGTTGAGCACCACTGCATTAAGGTATTGCAGAGATGACCAAGGAGTGATGAGAAAAAGGTTACTTCCGTAATAAACCAAGTGAATCCCATTGTGGTCAATGGTCCTTGGTTGTCCTAACTGGATTTTAAAGCAGAACAAAGTAAATGCCGAATTTTCATTGTCCAGTAGATGGAGCCTCATGAGTTAAGATTTCAGTTTTTACATTTGCCTTTTTTGGCATGTCAAGTAATGTGTTTGCATAGAGAAGGGGGGGGGGGAGGAAAGGTGTGCCACTAGATGATCGGCTTACTCATAGGCAAAAATGTGCCATATACACACAATAATTGTATTTACCAGTATTTATTACTACCCTTCCTCTCCATGAAAAATAAAGCTCAAAGTGGCTTTGTTTAAAACCACAGAAGCATTTCAAGTAATAAAATACAAAATGCATCTCAACATCTTTAAAGAAAGTTTAGTCAAATTACATCAACCAGGCCGGGCTGAAGAAATGGGAATTGATCAAGGAACTCAATTGCTACAACAACTGGAATCTATGATGCTTCAAAAAGCAGACCAAACTGAGGCTGGATTTCAATTCCAATATGTTGGGAATAAGGCTAAGCAAACTTTGGATTCACTTGAGTTAGGTTTACTAAAGCTTCTTTGATTTTTTTTTCAACTGAAAAAGACATTTGAAGGTACTTAAATTAGGAAACATTCAACCTAGATAAACCAATTGCCATTATATATATTTTTGTACTTTTTTCACAGATGCATATTACATGCCTCCATCATTGCACTAATAAAAACAGACATGGATGCCCAAGTGACATGACAGAGTGTGAAGATGGAAGCAGTTATTAATAAGGAAAACCACACAAGTTAGGAAAGATTTGTCAGCCTTCCAGGAAAGGCATGATTGCACTCCTTCTCTCCTCTGCCCCTGATGAGTTCATGGGAGTGCAAACTACTTTTGCACTTTGAACCCAGTGCACAATAACTGAAATAAGATGAGATCAAATGGGGATAAAAAGAAAAAAAAATGGCATTTTCAAGACATCTAAGAAGTGGGAGGACAAAGTATAAAGCAGGGCTCCTCAAGACTGGGAAATCCTAAATTGACAACACTAATTATAAGGTATGTTGCTCAACCACTGCACAACTCCAGAACTCTAAGATCATGCAACGTTTCCTCAGAGAAGGAATTATGTCATTTTACAAGGCCTTTATCCTTCCCTGCCAGAGTGTTGGTCCCTCACCAAACTGCAACCCCCAAGATTCTATAGCATTCAGTTATTAAACTGTATTAATTTTATGGTATGGATGTACTCTATGTCTTCCCCTGTTTATGTAAATCTTAAACTCTTTTCCCAGGCAGTGCTCAAACCGGGATTTGTATTTGCTCTTGGAATTGATAGAACCTTATTGACTCAACAATGACTTAGCTTTAAAATGGCTCCGTTCTTCTACTTTCTCTGGATTGAGTGAGAAAGGAGATCAGTTTTATAAGGCTGTGAAGAAACATCCTAAAATTTTAGCCCAATAGTTAGTTCTGAGCTACTAAATAACGAGATTTTTTTTTTTTTTTGGTGACTGGCAAGTTCTGGGAGAAAAAGCATGCTCATATTTTCTAGCAAATTCAGCTGAACTTCCTTGGACTCTTGAAAGTTAATCACTTGGGGTGCATCTACACCAGTGGTGCCCAACCCTTTTTTGACCAGGGACCACTTGACCAGGGACCACTCTACAACATGACTACCAACAGGGTTACGAATCAGTTTTTGGTCAACTTTAGATTTGGTTAGATTATTTGGGTGCAGATTCAGAAAATTGCATTGGATAAACCACATCAGCTCTAGTTTCTGATGCAGAATATATGTCATCCAGTAGTCGCCATCTGCTCGCCCACAGAAAACCATATTCAATAAGTCTCTGTGAGACCAGTCGCTCTAATTGCAATGGTGTAGTAACGGGGAGGCCGTGGACCATATTTTAGTTCTTGTGGACCACTGGTTGAGAACCACTGATCTTCACTGTAGAACAAATGCAATTTGACAGTGCTTTAACTGGCATGACCCAATGCTAAGGGATGGTAGGAGTTGCAGTTTTATAAGGTATTTAGTCTCCTCTGCCACGTGTTGCTGTGGCCCAATCTGTGTATATGTGTTTTGTGTGTGTGTGTATATGTGTGTGGTGTGTGTGTGTATTTGCATATATATATATATGTGTGTGTGTGTGTGTGTGTGTGTGTGTGTGTGTGGTTTTGCGCATGCATTATAATGTTTTTTTTTGCTTTTTAAGTCTCTTCTGCTGTGTTTTTCAGTGTTTTTATGAGTGATGGTCACTTGTTGGCCTGATAGGTGTATTGTGTCCAAATTTGGTGTCTATTCGTCCAGTGGTTTTTGGGTTATGTTAATCCAAAAACCCTGGAAGAGTTATCTGCATAGGAAATGAT